TTCAGCTGGCCCCTAAACAAATATATATACTAGTTCAGTGATAATGAACGCCATACTAAACTCCAAATTGTACACAAGAAACTAAAATTAAAAATAATACAAGACTAACAAAGTATTTATTCACGGGTTTATTATACCAATTTATTCTCTCTGATTGTAATTTTTGGTCATCCCAAAACTATATGTATGTGTTAATCAGGCTATTAATATTTTTTAAGAGGTTGGTATCCATTAGAAAGGACGTTGGTAGCCGTTCAGAGATACAAAAACTGACAAGGTCAAATTTTGAATCTGAAAATCGATTATTTGATTGTGAGAGGAATATCAAGATTAAGTGTGGTCATATAGCTTTTGACGTATTCATGTATTTTTATATCCTTCTATAACCTTGGCTTTTCAACAGATTTGCGTGTTAGCTGTCCTGTTCATGATTTATCCAGAAAATGGGTTTTTTAGCAAATTATAATTTCTATTAAATAATGTTATTTTCAATAAATGCATTTTTTACTTAATTCCTCATATATAAATCTATTAACAAGCAGAAATTAAAAAAAATATCTTACGTTGGGTGAAACTTAGCTTCTCTATAGATTGGTACTGTACAAAGATGTGCAAACAGACTACATTATAACAATTAATAAGATGACGAATAACAAAAACAAACTGATACACTCGTTCACACCAATTACAACATAATTTAAAATAAACTACACGTAATTTTAAAATCCCTCCATCACATCAATATTTTTAATGTAGAAATAATTCAATAGAAAATCTAATATATTTTCAGATGCTTCCGTTAATACTGTTAACTTTTTGGTAACTTTATTTTTGAAAAACTGGGTTTTTTTGGAGTTTTTTACTTTAAAAATTTGAGCACTATTCGCGCCTTGTTTAAATATTGGTATTAAGTATTTCCAATAAGATTGCGAGTGAATAGCGACAATAATTATTTTATGTCTTTCTTCTGTAGATTTATTGATTTTATTGTGAATCTGCGCTCGTTTATACGCACATTTAGCATTTATTGCATTATGGAAACCTTTTCACCTCCGATACTTATTGCAGAGAGATTTACAGTCATGTTGTATTTAAACTCAAAAACATAACTTATGATTAGATAAATAAGTGTATGTTAGTATATTGTGGTATGCCAGTAGGGAGTGGTCAATTCGAGGGAAGTATTCTACTTGGGTCGTATTTACAAATAATAACAAAACAATTCAGTAGTTAGTAAATAACACATAACTAAAACGACGATTTACAGTGTTTTTTTTCCCGAGGGGTTAAAAATCAAGTCATCCAATCCAAGCATTTAGATATTAGTATTACATGTGAATGTTGATTAAGACCTAAATGTATGTATCAATGGTATTTAACGCGGTATCCATTTGAAGGATTTGATTCAAAGTATTGACTTCTAAGCCCTGGTGAAACGTCTCAACCTGAATCGTGTGTTTAAGAGTGTCTGCTTAGCACCATAAAACGTGATCACTGCGTATTTAGAAAAAGAATGCTACAAAATATGCACAATGACCACTAGAATATACGGCGTAACATCGTCAATTTGAGTCTGAGGGGACACATTACCAAATAGAATGTTAGGAATTGTTATATAATTGGTATTACATAGAGTACACCTGAAAGTTCGTTTTTCGTTTTGTGGCATTGTGTTTTCAGTCTGTCTTTGACTTTTTGAGTTCGAATGCCAATTTGATATTCTCCGCCTCTCTTTGAACTTAGTTACACAATGCAGACACCGCGTGGTGTGTGTATTTTGCATTTTCAAACTACAGAGAGTGTTTTACAGTATAAACATCTAGAGTCTCAAGTACACAACGTCTATCTTAAAGGGAGTGTCTTACTATATCCATCTATATGGAGTGTGCAACAAAGAAGAGAACATAATTGAGTGAAATACAGTGCACAGTTCGTGTAAGTTGAAACATTGCACGCTTCATGCGTCTATGAACCACGCAGTTATTTCACATGCCTTAGGTTTCTTTATCAATAACAAAATTGAAACTGATTAGTAACAATTCAACTTCCGATATATTTTGTCATTCGCTCACATGATAAACAGTGTTCCATTACTCATTTACACTTATCAATCAATAATTACAAAAGGATTAAATATGAATATGGAACTATATAAATGTGGTGCATCCTAAGTGCCATTCAAAATTGATCACCATAAAAGAGCCCAACGCTAAAAGTTGGAAGTCAATGGTGTGTAATCCTTGAGTATTTGAAAAGATATACAGCTAAAAGGAACTTGAGAAAAATTTCAAAATTATTTCGTCATTTGTAAGCATGAACACACATTTGAAAGTGCACGAATCTTTGAATAAGTTACGTCAAATAAGCAGCCGAAGAAACATTCCCATTTGACATGTTTAACTTGACGATGCGAAAAGTTCGTGTTATCATGCTAAATTTATGCATTATTATTAACTATTGATTTAAAGACAGTTAATAATAATGTGGAGTGACAGCTTCCACTTAATGCCTAGTCCATCATTCTTCTTTATATTCCATTTGCATCAATTGATTGGGACATAATTCATGTCTTTAACATTTGCTGGTAATTTTATATATTCTAAATGGTTAAGACAAAACATACAAGCAAGTATAAAGCATTAAGACTCGTTGAAGCGCCTATGAGAATGCTTAGTAACGTTATAAATTTGAGGAGAACTTACAGGTAAATAGCACTCTTGTCAAGTAGAAAATCTTAATAGATTGTCGATGAAGTATGAACACCAATACACAAAACACAACATAGAAAACTAAAGACTGAGCAACACGAACCAAACTTAAAAAGTTGGGGTCATCAGAGGTGCTCCAAAAAGTTAAGCAGATCTTCCTTCACGTGTGATACCTGTCGTGTTGCTCAAGTAAGTACTTATGAAGTAGTGATAAGTCTAGTTCAGTAGATCATATTAGGGGAAAAGGGGACGGGATCGTAGTTACGATAATTGGAAAATATCCGTCGTCACCTGGGAAACAGATATCAAAAAACGGTCAACCAACTCATGGTGGCGTCCGTAAAATTTACGAAGGTATGATTTCAACTTTACCAATTTAAACTCGTGGTTTAATAGCTTCCTTGTGAGCAGCAACCCTTTCTCAAGGAAATCATGAAAGGAAACACAAGCCCTGAAATGTGATATATTCATGTGCATGCTCGGTGTCGATATTGTTGCTAGTGAAATGTTTGTCCCGAGTATATTATAAAGCTAAATCGTCTGGACTTCGGCATTGACATGATTGCTTTTTCCCTTTTTGTTCATTAGATTCATAATAAGTAGTTATTAAGATTCTAAAAATCTTTTTCCAACAGTATAAGTTGATCTTAGGTGCATTGGCTTTTCTTTTATATACCTAGGTTAACAAGTAGTTATACATTCCTGGCCTTAAAATCAAATTAATTTGACTGAGCGTTCCTGATGACAATAAACCAAAACAAACGCTTCGAACGCAATAGATATTTAAAGTATTATTTTCATGTTTATGTTTAAATCAATTATATTATAACAGTTGTGTTTGAAATTCGTTGATATCATTCATCCAGCATTCTTGCCGCTATTAGTTTGGAAACAAAATTTTAATATGGTTGAGATCATCGAGGTCATGAAGTTATCAACAGCAATTTGATAACCGCTTATTATTAAATTTGCTTGACTAACATACATCACATACGCTTATCACGAATGTGACTTACCGAATTAGACTATTTACCGAATTTGTAACAACATAAGCAACACGACGGGTGCCACATGTGGATCAGGATCTGCTTACCCTTCCAGAGCACCTGAGATCACCCCCAGTTTTTGGTGGGGTTCTTGTTGCTTAGTCTTTAGTTTTCTATGTTGTGTCATCTGTACTATTATTTGTCTGTTTGTCTTTTTATTTTTGGCCATGGCGTTGTCAGTTTGTTTTCGATCTATGAGTTTGACTGTCCCTCTGGTATCTTTCGTCCCTCTTTTACCACAATTCGTTTGTCTGTTGTCAAGCAAGAATAAGTCCGTTTAATAATTCATACTGCACTTAGGCCATTTACTTAACAAATACATGGTAATGTACCAATAAACTTATTATATATATATATATATATATATGTCTTAGGTCATTGAGGGTCAAATTTAAAACAGTGTAAAGCACTGTCATCTTCTTTACAACTTAAAGACACCAACCGGAAGTTATCATTATTTCTGTTTAAATCTCAATGTTCATATATAAAAAGATAAACTTACATTTTCAAAAAAATATAATTGATTTGTTTCCTTTTTCCTTTTTATCCTCTCCAAGATTTAGTTTGTTTTCTATCCATGTACGTATATTTATTAGTAAAGGAAAAAACCTACATCGACTTTGAAATATCAAAATAAAGATTTTACCTTAAAGTTACTACTTTAAGGAAGATACTGGTATGTTGAACCCTTATCGTGTGAATAACTTTACATAAGTATAAATTTTTACGGAAAAGATACTTATTACGCTAGGATGTGTATTTGAAAATCTCATAATTACAATAGTTTTAGTCATGATAAGTATTTATTCACGGGTTTATTATACCAATTTATTCTCTCTGAATGTAATTTTTTGGTCATCTCAGAACTATATGTATGTGTTTATCAGGCTATTGATATTTTTTGGGATGTTGGTATCCATTAGAAAGGACGTTGGTAGCCGTTCAAAGATACAAAAAGTGACAAGGTCAAATTTTAAATCTGAAAATCGATTATTTGATTTTGAGAGGAATATCAAGATTAAGTGTGGTCATATAGCTTTGAAGTATTCATGTATGTGTATATCTTTCTATAACCTTCGCTTTTAAAAATATTTGCGTGTTAGCTGTCCTGTTCATGATTTATCCAGAAAATGGGTTTTTTGCAAATTATTTCTATTAAATAATGTTATTTTCAATAAATGCATTTTTTACTAATTTCCTCATATATAAATCTATTAACAAGCAAAAATTTAAAAAAATAACTTACGTTGGGTGAAACTTAGCTTCTCTATAGATTCGTACTGTACAAGGATGCGCAAACAGACTACAACAATTAATGAGATGACGAATAACAAACACGAACTGATACACTCCTCTACACTAAATACAACATAATTAAAGATAAACTACACGTAATTTTGAAATCCCCTCATCACATCAATATTTTTAATGTAGAAATAATTCAATAGAAAATCTAATATATTTTCATATTCTTCCATTGATACTGTTAACTTTTCGGTAACTTTATTTTTGAAAAACGGTTTTTTTTTAACCCTAAAAATTTGAACACTATACGCGCCTTGTTTAAATGTTGGTATTACTAAGTATTTCCAATAAGATTGCGAGTGAATTGCGACAATATTTATTTTGTGTCTTTCTTCTGTAAATTTATTGATTTTATTGTGAATCTGCGCTCGTTAATACGCACATTCAGCATTTATTGCGTGATAAAAACCTCACAAAGGATAATGTCAAAAATAGTGCGTTATGGATTTTTTTCATACAAATTCTTCTTCTTTTCACCTCCAAAACTTATTGCAGAGAGGTTTACGGCGTAACATCGTCAATTTGAGTCTGAGGGGACACATTATCAAACAGAATGTTAGGAATTGTTATCTTAAATTGTTATTACATAGAGTACACCTAAAGGGTATTTTACAGAAAAATAAAATATTCTTTCAGGTACGCCATCACAAGTTCGTTTTTTCGTTTTGTGGCATTGTGTTTTCAGTTTGTCTTTGAATTTTGAGTTCTAATGCCTAATGAACTAAGTTACACAATGCAGACACCGCGTGGTGTGTGTATTTTGCAATTTTAAACTAAAGGGAGTGTTATACAGTATAAACATCTAGAGTCTCAAGTACACAACGTCTATCTTAAAGGGAGTGTCTTACTATATCCATCTATATGGAGTGTGCAACAAAGAATAGAACTGAATTGAGTGAAATACAGTGCACAGTTCTTGAAAATTGAATCATTGCACGCTTCATGCGTCTATGAACCACACAGTTATTTCACATGCCTTAGGTTTTTTTTATCAATAACAAAATTGAAACTGATTAATAACGCTTCAACTTCCGATATATTTTGTCATTCGATCACATGATAAATCGAGTTCCATAACTCATTTACACTTATCAATCAATAATTACCAAAGGATTAAGTATGAATATGGAACTATATAAATGTGGTGCATCCTAAGGGCTTTTTAAAATGTATCATCATAAAAGAAAACAACGCTAAAAGTTGGAAGTCAATGGTGTGTAATCCCTGAGTATTTGAAAAGATATACGGCTAAAAGGAACTTGAGAAAAATTTCAAAATTATTTCGTCATTTGTAAGCACGAACAGACATTTGAAAGTAAAATTGAGAATGGAAATGGGGAATGTGTCAAAGATACAACAACCCGACCATAGAGCAGACAACAGCCGAAGGCCACCAATGGGTCTTCAATGCAGCGAGAAACTCCCGCACCCGGAGGCGTCCTTCAGCTGGCCCCTAAACAAATATGTATACTAGTTCAGTGATAATGGACGTCATACTAAACTCCAAATTATACACAAGAAACTAGAATTAAAAATGATACAAGACTAACAATGGCCAGAGGCTCCTGACTTGGGACAGGCGCAAAAATGCGGCGGGGTTAAACATGTTTTTTGATATCTCAACCCCCCCCCCCCCCCTTATACCTCTAGCCAATGTAGAAAAAACAAACGCACAACAGTACGCACAGTGAAACGCAGTTCAAAAGAAGTCCGAGTCCGATGTCAGAATAGGAAACAAAAGAAAATAAGCAAAATGACAATAATACATAAATAACAACAGACTACTAGCAGTTAATGACATGCCAGCTCCAGATCTCAATTACACTGATTGAAAGATTATGTCTTCATCATATGAATATCAGGCACAATCCCTCCTGTTAGGGGTTTAGTATTATACTATCATAAAATATATGAGAAGAACATAACCCGTGTCATGCCAACAACTGGTTTTAGAATAAATATGTTTAATTCCGATGCAAAGACCATATAAGTGAATAGATATTAAAGCCAAAATATGCAATCTTTAATGACCTGACAACAGTATCGTAACTATATCCCTTCTTAATAATAAAATTGAGAATGGAAATTGGGAATGTGTCAAAGAGACAACAACCCGACCATAGAGCAGACAACAGCCGAAGGCCACCAATGGGTCTTCAATGCAGCGAGAAACTCACGCACCCGGAGGCGTCCTTCAGCTGGCCCCTAAACAAATAATAATAAGTCTGTTTAATGGTTTTGTTAGCTTTTGAGGTGAATACTGACATTTTTGTGCTTTGTAAAAAATATTACCATAATAGATTGGATGTGAAATACCCGAACGTATAAGATGTCTGTATGTTGAGTTATATTTACGAATGATGTTCTTATACCGATGAAAAAATTGAGTAAATGTTTTGACTAGTTTATGATATCGAAAACCCTGGTGTAATAATTTTTCAGTAATACATAAATTTCTCTCGTTAAAATCTAAAACGTTGTTAAATACACGAGCGAATCGTACAAGTTGAGATATATAAACACCATAAGATGGTGACAAGGGAACGTCACCATCTAAAAATGGATAGTTAACGATAGGAAATGAAAAATCATCTCTTTTATCATAAATTTTTGTATTAAGCTTCCCGTTAATGATATAGATATAAAGATCGAGGAAAGGACAGTGGTCATTGTAAGTATAAGCTCTATTTAAAGTAAGTTCAACAGGATAAATTTCTTTAGTATACACACTGAAGTTGTCATTATTGAGAGCCAATATATCATCCAAATATCTAAAAGTATTGTTAAATTTTTGTATCAGATGTTGTTTCGATGGGTCTTTGCTGATTTTAGTCATAAATTGTAACTCATAACAATACAAAAACAGGTCCGCAATAAGTGGTGCACAGTTAGTCCCCATTGGAATTCCGATAACTTTACGATATACGGAATCTCCAAAGCGAACAAAAATGTTATCAAGTAAAAATTCTAGGGCAGATATGGTATCAAAGCATGTCCAATTGACATAGTTCTTTTGTTTGTTGCTACTAAAAAATGACCTAAAAGAGTTTGAACATATGTATTCGCATTCCGACTTTTTAAATGCCCATTTAATTAGGTGTTTGAATTTTTTCTTAATAATAATATGAGGCAAAGTGGTATATAGGGTAGTTAATTCCACTATTTTCAAAGGCCTTATTTGAACAATTTATAATCAGATTTTTGATTGTACAAAGTGTACTAGTAAGTAGAAAAGACAATTTAGTAGTGGAACAATGACTTCAAGACGAAATAAATCTATATTTGTAAGGTGATTTGTGTAGCTTCGGAAGCCAGTACATAGTTGGAACTTTCATTGTATTTGGTTTTGCTTGTGAAGAAGTAGCTAATAGTTTATGTTTGTTACAGATATCGTTTTCTGAAAATGAAGTCAGTTGGAATGTTGGTGAATTCGTGATTTCCTTTTGCATAACCTCAATGTAAAATTTACGTCAAACTATAATGATATTATTAGCAGCTTTATCAGCCGGGACAAAAACAAATTCCTCGGCTAGTTCTTTTAGTTTATGTTTGATACGAGAAATAGGATTTTTATGGTTGTTGTTAAGAGTAAAATGTTCTTTAAAATGTTGTATACGTATATCAACTATCTTCATTACTGAATGAAAAAAAGAGTCCAAAGATTTTTTGTCAGCTTTTCCCGTTTTATCCATTTCAAACAGTAAGCACGAAGTGAGTCGTGGATGATATTACGACACTCATTCCAATTAATAATTGACGGGGGAACGATATTTAGGTCCTTTACTGAGGAATGATTTTAACTCCCGGTCGCGAACGATGTTAAGGTCTCCTGTTATAACATGGGAAATGGGGCCATAAGTGTATTCGGAATTACTACAATTACATGATGTAGGTGTATTTTCACTGATATTTACATCTTTACAGACTTGGCTATAATTAAACACAAATTTTCATGTAGATTTCTTGTAAATATAACAAATAAGAGGGTGTTCAGTATTATCAAAATATCCAGGAATTTGTTCTTTAACAGAATGGTCGTTAAAAATACCGGCAATATTTACAAAATCAAAACCTTTATTGACATACTTTATTTTAATAAAAAGTTTTTTATGATCTTCAGGGCGATCAATTTTGGGAAACAGTTTAGAATAACAATATGCCATTATAATTTGAACGATTTCATACTTAGGACTGCAATATGAAATTGTGTTGCAATACTCTAAAATTTTATTTAATTTATATATAAGTAAAGAACAGAGCTTTGTTAATAAATAATATCTGCCGTTGTTTTTTGAATTTTGAAATAAAAATTAGGTCCGAAATATTTGTATGGTTGGTCCGAAATTTTCTTTGATTGCGATTTTTTCTACGCCCATGAGAACGGTTTTTACGAACAGTTTTAGAAACTATATCCAAAATGTTAACAGCAACGGTTCTTGATATATTACCAATTCCCATAATATTATCATTAAGACTGAGAGGGTAGACTGTCTGTAATTTTTTAATCCAATTTGATTCAATTATTTTCCGTGATCGTACAAACTTTGAATGAGATTCACCAGGCTGCTTATTTACTACTTCTAAAGGTAGAACTGTTAAATATTTAATAGGATGATTGTGCATGAATCAATTTCATCAGTTTGAATAAGTTACGTCCAATAAGCGGCCGAAGAAACACTCCCATTTGACATGTTTAACAAGACGATGCGAAAAATTCGTCTTATCATGCTAAATTTATGCATTATTATTAACTATTGATTTAAAGACAGTAAATAATAATGTGGAGTGACAGCTTCCGCTTAATGCCTAGTCCAACTCTCATCTTTATATTCCATTTGCATATTATTATTTCTACATTTTTATTTTATTATCATGGTAAAAGTCTATTGATTGGGACATAAGTCATGTGTTTAACATTTGCTGGTAATTTTAAATATTCTAAATGGTTAAGCCAAACAAAACAAGCAAGTATAAAGCATTAAGACTCGATGAAGAGCCTATGAGAATGGTAAGTAACGTTATACGTTTGAGGAGAACTAACAGGTAAATAGCACTTTTGTCAAGCAGAAATTGTTAATAGATTGGCAATGAAGTATGAACACCAATACACAAAACACAACATAGAAAACTAAAGACTGAGCAACACAAACCAAACTTAAAAAGTGGGGGTCATCTAAGGTGCTCCATAAAGGTAAGCAGATCCTGCTCCACGTGTGATACCTGTCGTGTTGCTCAAGTAAGTACTTATCAAGTAGTGATAAGTCTAGTTCGGTACATCACATTAGGGGAAAAGGGGACGGGATTGTAGTTACGATAATTGGAAAATATCCGTCGTCATCTGTGAAACAGATATTGAAAAACGGTCAACCAACTCATGGTGGCGTCCGTAAAATTTGTGAAGGGATAATTTTAACTTATCCACTTTGAACTCGTGGTTTGTGAGTAGCAACCCACTATCCAGGAAATCATGAAAGGAAACACAAGCCCTGGAATGTGATATATTCATGTGCATGCTCGGTGTCGATATTGTTGCTAGTGAAGTTTGTCCCGAGTGTATTATAAAGCTAAATCGTCTGGACTTTGGCATTGACAAGATTGCTTTATTACCTTTCTTAAATTCTCCCTTTTTGTTCATAAGATTTATAATAAGTAGTTATTAAGATTCTAGGAATCTTTTTCCAACAGTATAAGTTGATCTTAGGTGCATTGGCTTTTCTTTTATATAACTAGGTTAACACGTAGTTATACATTCCTGGCCTTGAAATCAAATTAAGTTGACTGAGCGTTCCTGATGACGATCAACCAAAACAAACGCTTCGAACGCAATAGATTTTTAAAGTATTATTTTCAAGTTCATGTTTGAATCAATTCAATAATAATAGGTGTGTTTCGTTGATATCATTCATCCAGCATTCTTGCCGCTATTAGTTTGGAACATCCAGCATTCTTGCCGCTATCAGTTTGGAAACAAAATTTAAATACGGTTGAGATCAACGAGGTCATGAAGTTATCAACAGCAATTTGATAACCGCTTATGCTTTACTTTGCTCGACTAATATATATCACATACGCTTGCCACAATTTGTTTGTCTGTTGCCAAGCGAGAATAAGTCCGTTTAATAATTCATACTGCACTCAGGCCATTCACTTACCATATACATGATAATGTACCAATACACTTATTATATATATATATATGTATATGTCTTAGGTCATTGAGGGTCAAATTTAAAATAGTGTAAAGCACTGTCGTCTTCTTTACAACTTAAAGACGCCAACCGGAAGTTATCATTATTTCTGTTTAAATCTCAATGGTCATATATAAAACGATAAGCTTACATTTTCCAAAAATATAATTGATTTGTTTCCTTTTTCCTTTTTATCCTCTCCACGATTTAGTGTGTTTTCTATCCATGTACGTATATTTATTAGTAAAGGAAAAAACCGACATCGACTTTGTAATATCCAAATAAGGATAGACTTATAGTTACTATTTTAAAGGAGATACTGGTATGTTGAACCCTTATCGTTTGAATTACTTTACATAAGTATAAATTTTTACGGAAAAGATACTTATTACGCTAGGATGTGTATTTGAAAATCTCTTAATTACAATAGTTTTAATCATGATGAGTATTTATTCACGGGTTTATTTTACCAATTTATTCTCTCTGAATTTAATTATTTGGTCATCCCAGAACTATATGTATGTGTTAATCAGGCTATTTATATTTTTTGAGAGGTTGGTATCCATTAGGAAGGACGTTGGTAGCAGTTGATAGATACAAAAACTGACAAGATAAAATTTTAAATCTGAAAATCGATTATTTGATTTTGAGAGGAATATCAAGATTAAGTGTAGTCATATAGCTTTTGCCGTATTCATGTATTTGTATATCTTTCTACAACCTTCGCTTTAAGAAGATTTGCGTTTTAGCTGTCCTGTTTATGATTTATCCAGAAAATGGGTTTTTGTGGCAAATTATTTCTATTAAATAATGTTATTTTCAATAAATGCATTTTTTACTCATTTCCTCATATATAACAAGCAAAAATTAAAAACAACAACTTACGTTGGCTGAAACTTAGCTTCTCTATAGATTCGTACTGTGCAAGGATGTGCAAACAGACTACAACATTATAACAATTAACAATTAATAAGATGACGAATAACAAAAACAAACTGATACACTCCTCCACACCAATTACAACATAATTAAAAAATAAACTACACCATGTACACGTAATTTTAAAATCCCTCCATTACATCAATATTTTTAATGTAGAAATAATTCAATAGAAAAAACTAATATATTTGCAGATGCTTCCATTAATACTGATAAGTTTTCGGTAACTTTATTTTTGAAAAACGGGGTTTTTTTTACCCTAAAAATTTGAACACTATACGCGCCTAGTTTAAATATTGGAATTACTAAGTATTTCCAATAAGATTGCGAGTGAATTGCGACAATATTTAGTTTGTGTCTTTCTTCTGTAAATTTATTGATTTTATTGTGAATCTGCGCTCGTTAATACGCACATTTAGCATTTATTGCGTGATAAAAATCAGCAGGATAATGTCAAAAATAGTGCGTTGTGGATTTTTTTTTAATACAAATTCTACTTCTTTTCACCTCCGATACTTATTGCAGAGAGGTTTACAGTCATGTTGTATTTAAACTCAAAAACATTACTTAGTCTCAGATAAATAAGTGTATGTTATTATATGGTGGTAGGCCAGTAGGGAGTGGTCAATTCGAGGGAAGTATTCTACTACTTGGGTCGTATTTACAAATAATAACAAAACAATTCAGTAGTTAGTAAATAACACATAACTAAAACGACGATTTACAGTGGTTTTTTTTTCCGAGGGGTTAAAAATGAAGTCATCCAATCCAAGCAATTAGATATTAGTATAACATGTGAATGTTAATTAAGACCTAAATGTATGTATCAATGGTATTTAACGCGGTATCCGTTTGAAGGGTTTGATTCAAAGTATTGACTTCTAAGCCTTGGCGAAACGTCTCAACCTGAATCATGTGTTTAAGAGTGTCTGCCTAGCACCATAAAATGTGTTCACTGCGTATACAGAAAAAGAATGCTACAAAATATGCACAATGTCCACTAGAATATATGGCGTAACATCGTCAATTTGAGTCTGAGGGGACACATTATCAAATAGAATGTTAAGAATTGATATCTTAAATTTGTATTACATAGAGTACACCTAAGGGGTATTTAAAGAAAAAAAAATATTCTTTCAGGTACTCCATCACCAGTTCGTTTTTTGTTTTGTGGCATTGTATTTTCAGTTTGTCTTTGATTTTTGAGTTCGAATGCCTATTTGATATTCTCCGCCTCTCTTTGAACTAAGTTACACAATGCAGACACCGCGTGGTGTGTGTATTTTGCAATTTTAAACTAAAGTGAGTGTTATACAGTAAAAACATCTAGAGTCTCAAGTACACAACGTCTATCTTAAAGGGAGTGTCTTACTATATCCATCTATATGGAGTGTGCAACAAAAAAGAGAACTTAATTGAGTGAAATACAGTGCACAGTTCGTGTAAGTTGAAACATTGCACGCTTCATGCGTCTATGAACCACACAGATATTTCACATGCCTTAGGTTTTTTTTATCAATATCAAAATTGAAACTGATTAATAACGCTTCAACTTCCGATATATTTTGTCATTCGATCACATTATAAACAGTGTTCCATTACTCATTTACACTTATCAATCAATAATTACCAAAGGATTAAATATGAATATGGAACTATATAAATGTGGTGCATCCTAAGCGCTTTTCAAAATGTATCATCATAAAAGAGCCCAACGCTAAAAGTTGGAAGTCAATGGTGTGTAATCCTTGAGTATTTGAAAAGATATACGGCTAAAAGGAACTTGAGAAATATTTCAAAGTTATTTCCTCATTTGTAAGCACAAACACACATTTGAAAGTACATGGATCAATTTAATCAGTTTGGATAAGTTACGTCCGATAAGCAGCCGAAGAAACACTCCTATTTGACATGTTTATCAAAACGATGCGAAAAATTCGTCTGATCTTGCTAAATTTACACATTATTATTAACTATTGATTTAAAGACAGTTAATAATAATGTGAAGTGACAGCTTCCGCTTAATGCCTAGTCCAACTCTCATCTTTATGTTAGATTTGCATATTATTATTTCTACATTTTTATTTTATTATCATGGTAAAAGTCTATTGATTGGGACATAATTCATGTTTTTAACATTTGCTGGTAATTTTATATATTCTAAATGGTTAAGCCAAAACATACAAGCAAGTATAAAGCATTAAGACTCGATGAAGAGCCTATGAGAATGCTAAGTAACGTTAAAGTTTGAGGAGAACTAGCAGGTAAATAGCGCTCTTGTCAAGTAGAAATTTTTAATAGATTGGCAATGAAGTATGAACACCAATACACAAAACACAACATAGAAACCTAAATACTGAGCAACATGAACCAAACTTAAAAGGTGGTGATCATCTAAGGTGCTCCATAAAGGTAAGTAGATCCTGCTCCACGTGTGATACCTGTCGTGTTGTTCAAGTAAGTACTTATCCAGTAGTGATAAGTCTAGTTCGGTACATCACATTAGGGGAAAACGGGACGGGATTGTTGTTACGATCATGAGAAAATATCCGTCGTCATCTGTGAAACAGATATTGAAAAGCGGTCAACCAACTCATGGTGGCTTCCGTAAAATCTGCGAAGGGATGATTTCAACTTTATCACTTTGAACTCGTGGTTTGTGAGCAGCAACCCTCTATCCAGAAAATCATGAAAGGAAACACAAGCCCTGGAATGTGATATATTCATGTGCATGCTCGGTGTCGATATTGTTGCTAGTGAAATGTTTGTCCCGAGTGTATTATAATGCTAAATCGTCTGTACTTTGGCATTGACATGGTTGATTTATAATCTTTCTTAAATTTTCCCTTTTTGTTCATTAGATTTATAATAAGTAGTTAAAAAGATTCTAGGAATTTTTTTCCAATAGTATAAGTTGATCTTAGGTGCATTGGCTTTTCTTTTATATACTTAGGTTCACACGTAGTTATACATTCCTGGCCTTGAAATCAAATTAAGTTGACTGAGCGTTCCTAAGGACGATACCCCAAAACAAACGCTTCGAACGCAATAGATTTTTAAAGTATTATTTTCAAGTTTATGTTTAAATCAATTCCATTATTACAGGTGTGTTTCGTTGATATCATGTATCCAGCATCCTTGCCGCTATTAGTTTGGAACATCCAGCATTCTTGTCGCTATTAGTTTGGAATCAAAATTTTAATACGGTTGAGATCAACGAGGTCATGAAGTTATCAACAGCAATTTGATAACCGCTTATGGTTAACTTTGCTTGACTAACATACATCACATACGCTTGCCACAATTCGTTTGTCTGTTGTCAAGCGAGAATAAGTCCGTTTAATAGTTCATACTGCACTTAGGCCATTTTTTTACCAAATACATGATAATGTACCAATAAACTTATTATATATGAATGCATGTCTTTGGTCATTGGGGGTCAAATTTAAAACAGTTTAAAGCACTGTCATCTTCTTTACAACTTAGAGACAACAACCGGAAGTTATCATTATTTCTGTTTAAAGCTCAATGTTCATATATAAAACGATAAACTTACATTTTCAAAAAATATAATTGATTTTTTTCCTTTTTCCTTTTTATCCTTTCCAAGATTTAGTTTGTTTTCTATATATGTACGTATATTTATTAGTAAAGGAAAACACCAACATCGACTTGAAATATCCAAATAAGGATTTGACCTTATAGTTACTATTTTAAGGAAGATGCTGGTATGTTGAACCCTTATCGTGTGAATTACTTTACATAAGAATAAATTTTTACGGAAAAGATACTTATTACGCTAGGATGTGTATTTGAAAATCTCATAATTACAATAGTTTTAGTCATGATAAGTATTTATTCACGGGTTTATTTTACCAATTTATTCTCTCTGAATGATTTTTTTGTCATCCCAAAACTATATGTATGTGTTAATCAGGCTATTGATATTTTTTGGGATGTTGGTATCCATTAGAAAGGACGTTGGTAGCCGTTTAAAGATACAAAATGTGGCAAGGTCAAATTTTGAATCTGAAAGTCGATTATTTGATTTGAGAGGAATATCAAGATTAAGTGTGGTCATATAGCTTTTGACGTATTCATGTATTTGTATATCTTTCTATAACCTTCGCTTTTAAAAAGATTTGCGTGTTAGCTGTCCTGTTCATGATTTATCCAGAAAATGGGTTTTTTGGCAAATTATTTCTATTAAATAATGTTATTTTCAATATAAATGCATATTTTACTTATTTCCTCCTATATGAATCTATTCACAAGCAAAAAATAAAAAAAATAACTTACGTTGGGTGAAACTTAGATTCTCGATAGATTCGTACTGTACAAGGATGCGCAAACAGACTACAACATTATAACAATTAATAAGATGACGAATAACCAAAACGAATTGATACACTCCTCCACACCAACTACAACATAATTAAAAATAAACTACTCGTAATTTTAAAATCCCTTCATCACATCAATATTTTTAATGTAGAAATAATTCAATAGAAAGTCTAATATATATTTTCATATGCTACTGTTAATACTGTGAACTTTTTGGTAACTTTATTTTTAAAAAACGGGTTTTTTTTTACCCTAAAAATTTGAACACTATACGCGCCTTGTTTAAATGTTGGTATTACTAAGTATTTCCAATAAGATTGCGAGTGAATTGCGACAATATTTATTTTGTGTCTTTCTTCTGTAAATTTATTGATTTTATTGTGAATCTGCGCTCGTTAATACGCACATTTAGCATTTATTGCGTGATAAAAACCTCACAAAGGATAATGTCAAAAATAGTGCGTTGTGGATTTTTTTTCATACAAATTTACTTCTTTTCACCTCCAATACTTATTGCAGAGAGGTTTACAGTCATGTTCTATTTACATTCGAAAACATAACTTAGGATTAGATAAATAAGTGTATGTTATTATATGGTGGTATGCCAGTAGGGAGTGGTCAATTCGAGGGAAGTATTCTACTACTTGGGTCGTATTAACAAATAATAACAAAACAATGCAGTAGTTAGTAAATAACACATAACTAAAACGACGATTTACAGTGTTTTTTCCCGAGGGGTTAAAAATCAAGTCATCGAATCCAAGTAGTTATATATTAGTATAACATGTGAATGTTAATTAAGACCTAAATGTATGTATCAATGGTATTTAACGCGGTATCCATTTGAAGGGTTTGATTCAAAGTATTGACTTCTAAGCCCTGGTGAAACGTTTCAACATGAATCATGTGTTCAAGAGTGTCTGCCTAGCACCATAAAATGTGTTCACTGCGTATACAGAAAAAGAATGCTACAGAATATGCACAATGTCCACTAGAATATACGGCGTAACATCGTCAATTTGAGTCTGAGGGGACACATTATCAAATAGAATGTTAGGAATTGTTATCTTAAATTGGTATTACATAGAGTACACCTAACGGGTATTTAACAGAAAATAAAATATTCTTTCAGGTACGCCATCACAAGTTCGTTTTTCGTTTTGTGGCATTGTGTTTTCAGTTTGTCTTTGATTTTTGAGTTCGAATGCCAATTTGATATTCTCCGCCTCTCTTTGAACTAAGTTACACAATGCAGACACCGCGTGGTGTGTGTATTTTGCAATTTTAAACTAAAGGAAGTGTTATACAGTATAAACATCTAGAGTCTCAAGTACACAACGTCTATCTTAAAGGGAGTGTCTTACTATATCCATCTATATGGAGTGTGCAACAACGAATAGAACTTAATTAAGTGAAATACAGTGCACAGTTCGTGTAAATTGAATCATTGCACGCTTCATGAGTCTATGAACCACACAGTTATTTCACATGCCTTAGGTTTTTTTCATCAATGACAAAATTGAAACTGATTAATAACTTTTCAACTTCCGATATATTTTGTCATTCGATCACATGATAAACAGTGTTACATTACTCATTTACACTTATCAATCAATAATTACCAAAGGATTAAATATGAATATGGAACTATATAAATGTGGTGCATCCAAAGGGCTTTTCAAAATGTATCATCATAAAAGATAACAACGCTAAAAGTTGGAAGTCAATGGTGTGTAATCCTTGAGTATTTGAAAAGATATACGACTAAAAGGAACTTGAGAAAAATTTCAAAATTATTTCGTCATTTGTAAGCACGAACACACATTTGAAAGTGCATGAATCAATTTAATCAGTTTGAATAAGTTACGTCCAATAAGCAGCCGAAGAAACACTCCCATTTGAAATGTTTAACTAGACAATGCGAAAAATTCGTCTTATCATGCTAAATTTATGCATTATTATTAACTATTGATTTAAAGACAGTTAAGAATAATGTGGAGTGACAGCTTCCGCTTAATGCCTAGTCCAACTCTCATCTTTATATTCCATTTGCATAGTATTATTTCTACATTTTCATTTTATTATCACGGTAAAAGTCTATTGATTAGGACATAAGTCATGTGTTTAACATTTGCTGGTAATGTTATACATTCTAAATGGTTAAGCCAAAACATACAAGCAAGTATAAAGCATTAAGACTCGATGAAGCGCCTATGAGAATGATTAGTAACGTTATACGTTTGAGGAGAACTAACAGTTAAATAGCTCTCTTGTCAAGTAGAAATTGTTAATAGATTGACGATGAAGTATGAACACCAATACACAAAACACAACATAGAAAACTAAAGACTGAGCAACACAAACCAAACTTAAAAAGTGGGGGTCATCTAAGGTGCTCCAAAAAAGTAAGCAGATCCTGCTCCACGTGTGATACCTGTCGTGTTTCTCAAGTAAGTACGTATCCAATAGTGATAAGTCTAGTTCGGTAGATCACATTAGGGGAAAAGGGGACGGGATTGTAGTTACGATAATTGGAAAATATCCGTCGTCATCTGTGAAACAGATATTGAAAAACGGTCAACCAAGTCATGGTGGCGTCCGTAAAATTTGTGAAGGGATGATTTCAACTTAACCACTTTGAACTCGTGGTTTGTGAGCAGCAACCCTCTATCCAGGAAATCATGAAAGGAAACACAAGCCCTGGAATGTGATATATTCATGTGCATCTCGGTGTCGATATTGTTGCTAGTGAAGTGTTTGTACCGAGTGTATTATAAAGCTAAATCGTCTGGACTTCGGCATTGACATGATTGCTTTATTACCTTTCTTTAATTCTCCCTTTTTGTTCATTAGATTTATAATAAGTAGTTATTAAGATTCTAGGAATCTTTTTCCAACAGTATAAGTTGATCTTATGTGCATTGGCTTTTCTTTTATATACCTAGGTTCACACGTAGTTATACATTCCTGGCCTTAAAATCAAATTAATTTGACTGAGCGTTCCTGATGACAATAAACCAAAACAAACGCTTCGAACGCAATATATTTTTAAAGTATTATTTTCAAGTTCATGTTTAAATTAATTCCATTATAACAGGTGTGTTTTGTTGATATCATTCATCCAGCATTCTTGCCGCTATTAGTTTGGAACATACAGCATTCTTGCCGCCATTAGTTTGTAAACAAAATTTTAGTTCCGTTGAGATCAACAGGGTCATGAAGTTATCAAGGCCAATTTGATAACCACTTATGGTTAACTTTGCTTGACTAACATACATCAGATACGCTTGCCACAATTCGTTTGTCTGTTGTCAAGCGAGAATAAGTCCGTTTAATAATTCATACTGCACTTAGGACATTTACTTACCAAATACATGATTATATACCAATAAACTTATTATATATATATATGTATATGTCTAAGGTCATTGAGGGTCAAATTTAAAACAGTGTAAAGCACTGTCGGCTTCTCTACAACTTAAAGACAACAACTGGAAGTTATCATTATTTCTGTTTAAATCTCATTGGTCATATATAAAACGATAAGCTTACATTATCAAAAATATAATTGATTTGTTTCCTTTTTCCTTTTTATCCTCTCCACGATTTAGTGTGTTTTCTATCCATGTACGTACATTTATTAGTTAAGGAAAAAACCGACATCGACTTTGAAATATCCAAATAAGGATTTAACCTTATAGTTACTATTTTAAAGGAGATACTGGTATGTTGAACCCTTATCGTGTGAATTACTTTACATTGTATAAATCTTTACGGAAAAGATACTTATTACGCTAGGATGTGTATACGAAAATCTCATAATTACAATAGTTTTAGTCATGATAAGTATTTATTCACGGGTTTATTATACCAATTTATTCTCTCTGAATGTAATTTTTGGTCATCCAAAAACTATATGTACGTGTTAATCAGGCTTTTGATATTATCATTATGCATTATTATTAACTATTGATTTAAAGACAGTTAATAATAATGTGGAGTGACAGCTTCCGCTTAATGCCTAGTCCAACTCTCATCTTTATATTCCATTTGCATAGTATTATTTCTACATTTTTATTTTATTATCATGGTAAAAGTCTATTGATTAGGACATTAGTCATGTGTTTAACATTTGCTGGTAATGTTATACATTTTAAATGGTTAAGCGAAAACATACAAGCAAGTATAAAGCATTAAGACTCGATGAAGCGCCTATGAGAATGATGAGAAACGTTATACGTTTGAGGAGAACTAACAGTTAAATAGCTCTCTTGTCAAGTAGAAATTGTTAATAGATTGGCGATGAAGTATGAACACCAATACACAAAACACAACATAGAAAACTAAAGACTGAGCAACACAAACCAAACTTAAAAAGTGGGGGTCATCTAAGGTGCTCCAAAAAAGTAAGCAGATCCTGCTCCACGTGTGATACCTGTCGTGTTTCTCAAGTAAGTACTTATCCAGTAGTGATAAGTCTAGTTCGGTAGATCACATTAGGGGAAAAAGGGGACGGGATTGTAGTTACGATAATTGGAAAATATCCGTCGTCATCTGTGAAACAGATATTGAAAAACGGTCAACCAACTCATGGTGGCGTCCGTAAAATTTGTGAAGGGATGATTTCAACTTAACCACTTTGAACTCGTGGTTTGTGAGCAGCAACCCTCTATCCAGGAAATCATGAAAGGAAACACAAGCCCTGGAATGTGATATATTCATGTGCATGCTCGGTGTCGATATTGTTGCTAGTGAAGTGTTTGTACCGAGTGTATTATAAAGCTAAATCGTCTGGACTTCGGAATTGACATGATTGCTTTATTACCTTTCTTCAATTCTCCCTTTTTGTTCATTAGATTTATAAAAAGTAGTTATTAAGATTCTAGGAATCTTTTTCCTACAGTATAAGTTGATCTTAGGTGCATTGGCTTTTCTTTTATATAACTAGGTTCACACGTAGTTATACATTCCTGGCCTTAAAATCAAATTAATTTGACTGAGCATTCCTGATGACGATAAACCAAAACAAACGCTTCGAACGCAATAGATTTTTAAAGTATTATTTTCAAGTTCATGTTTGAATAACTTCCATTATATTAAATAGTAGATTTATAATAAGTAGTTATTAAGATTCTAGGAATCTTTTTCCTACAGTATAAGTTGATCTTAGGTGCATTGGCTTTTCTTTTATATAACTTATTTCATATATAACAATTAAAAATTAGAAAAAATAACTTACGTTGGCTGAAACTTAGCTTCTCTATAGATTCGATTTTATTGTGAATCTGCGCACGTTAATACGCACATCTAGCATTTATTGCACGATGAAAACCTCACAAAGAATGATGTCACAAATAGTGCGTGGTGAATTTTTTCTCATACAAATTCTACTTCACACTCCCTTTTAGATAGACGTTGTGTACTTGAGACTCTAGATGTTTATACTGTATAACACTCCCTTTAGTTTGAAATTGCAAAATACACACACCACGGGGTGTCTGCATTGTGTAACTTAGTTCAAAGAGAGGCGGAGGATATGAAATGGGCATTCGAACTAAAAACATCAAAGACAAACAGAAAACACAATGCCACAAAACAAAAAACGAACTTGTGATGGAGTACCTGAAAGAATATTTTATTTTCTGTAAAAAAAGGGGGTTAAAAATCAAGTCATCCAATCCAAGCAATTAGATATTAGTATAACATGTGAATGTTAATTAAGACCTAAATGTATGTATCAATGGTATTTAACGCGGTATCCATTTGAAGGGTTTGATTCAAAGTATTGACGTCTAAGCCTTAGTGAAACGTCTCAACCTGAGTCATGTGTTTAAGAGTGCCTGCTTAGCACCATAAAACGTGTTCACTGTGAACACAGAATGAGAATGCTTCAACATATGCATAATTCCCACTAAAATATACGGCGTAACATCGTCACTTTTACTCTGAGGTGACACAGTGTCCAATGGAATGTTAGGAATTGTTATCTTAAATTGATATTACATACAGTACACTTAAAGGGTGTTATACTGAAAATCCTAGTACCTTTAGGTACGCAATCACAAATTCGTTTTCCGTTTGTGGTATTGTGCTGTCAGTTTGTCTTTGACTTTTGAGTTCGAATGTCCATTTGATATCCTCCGCCTATTTTTTAAACTGCGTTACACAATATATCTACTATTTGGCGTGTAGCACAGTGTAGACCTCGTGGTGAGTGTACTTTGCATTTTCAAACTAAAGGGGGTTTTATACAGTATAAACATCTAGAGTGTTAAACAGACAACGTCTATTTAAAAGGGGGTATCTTACTATATCAACATTTATCGGGTATGCAACAAAAAATATAACTTAAATGAGTGAAATACAGTATACAGTTCGTATAACATTTCACGCTTCATACGTATTCTATAAATGTGGTGCATCCTAAGTGTTTTTCCAAATGTATCATCATAAGAGAGACCAGTTGAAAGTCAAGGGTGTTTAATCCTTAAGTATTTGAAAAGATATACGGCCAATAGGGACTTGAAAAAATTTCAAAATCATATCATCATTGGTTAGCACGAACACACATTTGAAAGTTCATGAATCAATATAATCAGTTTGAATAAGTTATGTCTGATGAGCAGCACAAGAAACACTCAAATTTCACATGTGTTATTAGACGATGCGAAGGATTCGTCTTATCATGCTAGATTTATACATTATTATTAACTATATATCTAAAGACAGTTAATAATGCTGCAGAGAGATGACAGCTTCCACTTCATGCCAAGTCCAACCCTCTTGTTTATATGCCATTTCCATATTATCGTTTTTAAAGTTTTATCTTATTGTCATGGAAAAGTCTATTGATTGGGACATTATCTATGTGTTTAATCTTTCCTGGTAATTCTATATATTTCGAATGGTAAAGCCAAAACATACAAGCAATTATAAGTCATTAAGACTCGATGAAGCGATGAGAATGCTTAGTAACGTTATACGTTTGAGGAGAAATAACAGGTAAATAGCTGTCTTGTCCAGTAGAAATTGTTAATAGATTGGCGATGACGTATGTGCATTAACAATTTTATTGAAAATGTTGGGAATAAAAGAAATAGAATTGCTATTCGAACTAGTGTATAGATTCATGTATACTTGTAATCTGTATTACGACATTATTTTGTCAATTGGTACAAAGATTACATGCTCTCTAGAAAAGTTCGCGAGCCTTTCTGATTTGAAAACTAAAATACAAAATAAAACTGCTCCAGAAATATCTCACACGATAACCTCCCTTTGATATACTAATGATAATGAAAAAGATAAAAATGATAATTTAATTATTATAAATTTACGGTTCACATGCAAGCCCATTTTGTTTTACATGTTCAAAGTTAAAAGTTAACAAAGGCAAAGAAATATGTTTGGAAACTTTTCTTTTATACTATTCAAACGAAGTGTTTTCTATTAATGCTAAAGCTATTAAACCAAGCGTACCAAGTGGTGGAGTTAAAATCATCCTTCATAATTGTTATGGACGCCATCACGAGTTGGTTGACCGTTATGGAATATCTGTTTCTCAGATGACGACGGATATGTTCCAATTGTCGTAACTACAATCCCGTCCATTTTTCTCCGAATGCAACCTACCGAATAAGACTTATCGCCGTGTTTCTACTAACATAAGCAAGAAGACGGGGCCACATGTGGAGCAGGATCTGCTTACCTTTACGGAGCACTTGTTTTGGTTGGTTTCTTTTTGCTCACTCTTAGTTTTCTGTGTTGTGTTTTTTGTAAATTGTTGTTTGTTTGGGTTTTTTTTTTTTTTTTCTTTTTTTAGCCATGGCGTTGTCAGTTCATTTTTAACGTATGAGTTTTAATGTCCTTTTGGTATCTTTCGCTTCTTTCCATTCCGTCATTTTTGTGTCTTTTAAAATTTAATGTAAATAATTGATAAAATTCTTATGATTAAAGCATGATAATCATTTTAAATTGAAATATTTCCAGTATGCATCAATCTAACAGCACAAAAAATCCTTAACGACATTTACATGATTAATAAATGAAGGACTATTTCTTCACTTGATAATACATTCGTTATTGTCCTAAGCAAGCTAAGTGTCCAAATTTATTTCAACAACCATGTTACCTTATATAACATTTTACAGTTCTGTTCTTAATGCCAATTAGTTTTAAGGTAGATGGGGGTCTTCATTAAAATTCATAGATTTTTTTAATGATTTGTCAAAATGCAGTTTTAATCATGCTTTTTTCCAAAATAAAATAAAATGTATGGGTCACCGGACTTTTTTTCACGCTACAGGTTGGGCACAATTGTCAGATTTTGTTTACATTATGCATGAAAAATCCAATTTTGAGTAATAAAAAGAATACTACACCATAAAATGTTAAGATAAAATGTGAGAAGATAGAACTTATAACATGCTTTCAGATAAGAAAAAGAAAACATGGGGTCACTGGACTTGTTTTCTTGCTACATATTAGAATAGGTAAATTCATAACACTTTCTATTATAAAAATTAGTTATGAGTTATCTCCCCTTATGTGGCAAAGTTGACAAAAAAAACGAATCAAACAAAAAAAAACTGTGTTTTTTAGAAAATACAGCCGTACATATGATAAAACACATAGTTTTCTATATTCACATGAAAAGTCTTACACATTAATTATATACTATTCTCAAAATTTGCACGTATCATTAAAGATCTAGACCAAATGATATCTGCTGCTTCAAAATCCAGGATGAAGGAAGACACCCCAGCCACCTGAAATTAAGAATTTCATTGTATGATCAATTAACAAATGAAATATATATTTGTTCGTATCATATTGATAAATAGGAATACTGAATGCCAATCATACAAAAGATCATGTTAGCTATTGTACATATTAACTACTATCAAACCGAGTATTTATCCATCTTTCGTACAAGTCACATTTGAAGAACGTAATGAGTTCGTAAAAGTCACTCGAGAAGTAACATCAGATACATCTGTTTGGTAGTCAAAACCAGCTACAGTACACGATCACGATCCTTGCATGCATAACTCTGTGGTGTATTTTTTGTAACTACTCAACTTCACTGGAACTTATAGCAATACGTCATAGAAGCTTTCCATGACGTTAGTATTCAGTTCTTCACCTATAATGACTGAAGGTTTTGTATGTTCGGAAGCACAAGTATAGTCAGTAATTTAGACATCCACTCTGTAGCTCCTTTCTCCAGATAGCGTTCCAAACACAATGATACCATGCAGAAGTATCGCCTCTCTAAAGCAAGTGTCAATTCCATCCTTAAAACCAACAACCTAATTACGGCTTATTCTAGGTTTAAAATGCACTAATCTGTGCAGTTTTGGACGCCTTATATCTGAACAAAACAATCCTCCGGAAACGTTTTTATCCTTTCATGGGCACCCGCTTTATGTTTAACCCCGCCACATTCTGTATATACCTGTCCCAAGTCAGTAGCCTGTAATTCAGTGGTTGTTGTTTGTATCATATTTGTTTTCGTCCATTACTTTATGACTAAATCATCAGACCGTTATTTTTCTCGTTTGAATTTTTTTACGTTTGTCATTTCGAGGCCTTTTATAGCTTACCATGCGGTATTGGCGTTGCTCATTGTTGAAGGCGGTACGGTGACCTATAGTTGTTAATTTCTGAGTCAATTGTTCCCTTGTGGAGAGTTGTCTCATTGGAAATCATACCACGTTTTCATGTTTTCATATAAACATACAATTTATATTCAATACAATAATACTTAAGAAGTGATATTAAACTGTACAATATACTCGCATAACTAACAAAAGAATATGAAAAATATTTAAGCATATTTTCAAAATTAAAATCGGCATACCTCAAACGTGCAATATTAATTAATGTAGCATTATCATGTGACGATAAAAGTCCAGAAGTAAAATCTTAAGTGCCATTTCAAATTGATAATTAAAGATTTTGAATTAGAAGACGGAATAAAAATATTATTGTACAAGCAAACCAAATTCGAAAATATTGTTCACATGTTCCATCCAATTATTAGGTTAATGATTTAAAATAAATCAAAACTTTTGAAACAAGATCCGCGTGCAAAACAAATCTGAATCATACTTTATCAATACATTGGAAAATCAAACATATATAACAGACCTCTACATTATCGTTTTTTCCAACTTGTCCCTTCGGGCAAATTGCAAGAAAATCAACTTGTCCGAACTCTTTTTTTTTTTTATAATTTATTATTTTTCTTCATGAATTTACAGGTATCAA